TTCTTTCTTTCTTTCTTTCTTTCTTTCTTTCTTTCTTTCTTTCTTTCCTTCCTCTCTTTCTTCCTTCCCTCCTTCCTTTCTTTATGTCTGCCTTCCTTCCCTCCTTCCTCTTTCTCTCTCTCTTTCTTTCTTTCTTTCTTTCTTTTTCTGTCTGCCTTCCTTCCCTCCTTCCTTCCTTCCTTCCTTTTTCTTTCTTTCTTTCCTTCCTTTTCTTCCTCTCTTTTCCTTCCTTCCCTCCCTGCCTCTTCTTTCTTTCTTTCTTTCCTTTCTTTCTTTCTTTCCTTCCTTCCTCTCTTTTCCTTCCCTTCCTCCCTCTCTTTGCCTTCCTTCCTTCCCCTATGTCTGTCTGTCTATCTATCTATCTACGCTACCTATCTACCGGGGGTGGGGGTGGGGTGGGGGGATTCTATCGGTTCAGACGCGCTCACCAATCCGGTTGTTACACCAGTTGAATCCCACCCCAACCTACCTACCTATCCATCCATCCATCCATCCATCCATATCTATATCATCTATCTACCCCTGTTTGCGGCAGGGGTTCGCTCTCCAACCTTGTTTCTGAACGATTCGTCAACCAGACTGGGTAACATCCTCAAAAACTAAACTGAAACACGTTTGGAGAGCAAAGGCCCTGCCAAAACCTAAAACCTGAGCTGCGAATATTTTCTACTGTGTCTTTTCGTTTCTCTTTCCTTATATCTCTGTCTGTCTGCTAGTCTGTCAGTCAGTCAGTCAGTCTGTCAGTCGGTCTAATTCACATGGTCACCTATCTCACAGAAAGTGAGCCTGGGAGGCATACGAACCACCCAAGGAAACAATCAGGCCTTTATTTATTTATCCCTTAAGGCAGAGGGGTCCCCAAACTTGGCCACTTTAATAAGACTTGTGGACTTCAACTCCCAGAATTCCTCAGCCAGCAAGCCAAGATCCCAAAATGCTGGCTTGGGAATTCTGGGAGTTGAAGCCCACAAGTCTTAAAAGTTGCCCAGTCTGGGGACCCCTCTGCCTTAAGGCCTCAATGCCCTTTCAGAGAAAAGCTGGCTTAATCCACCAGAATATTGGGGGGTGGGGGGATGGGATCCCCGCTTTTAGCTGGGCCATCCCTCCCCCAAAGTAAGATGAGATTCTCCGCTCTCACAGATAATAAACGCTCCCCTTTCCAGGCCTCCCCACTCTAAGTCTCCTCCAAAAGTTGAAAGAAAAGGCCCCAATTCCCTCTGGAGATCCCGCCCCCCCCGGCCTCTCTTAGATGCCCCCACTTCTCTTCCCCCGGGGCACCCACTTGCTGGGCCACTTCGGGCTTGGGGCCAAGCTCCAAGAGGCGGCGAGCGAAGGTGGCGGCCGTCTTGAAGTTCTTGAGCTTGAAGAAGAGGTTGAGGGCCGTTCGAAGGACCAAGATCATGTGGACAGGCTGCAGGTTGGCGTGGGTGAAGTAGGCGGCCATCTGCAGGGGACAGAGTGAGATCAGAAAGGGTGGGGAGGGGTTTGGGGAGGGGGGAGATTTGCAGGAAAGGGGACAGGGTCTCAGACGCGGAGGCTCCAGGGTCACCGCAGGGTCTGGGTTCTGACCCAGCTCCGACAAACCCTCTGCAGCGAACTCAAAAGATTCCTTTAATTAGGAGGGCCGGCTAACAAGCCTGTCCGTCCAGGAGGTGGGTAGCTGTCTACCACCTCCATTCATCTCCGCCCCCTGCCCTTGATCCCCAGAGCTAGGGTGGGGTTTCTCTAGCGGCTCTTCCGTCCCAAGGACCGGCCCATAGATTTCCCCTGCTCTCCTCTCCTCTGCCTTCTGTGTCAGGCACTGGACCCGGCTGTGCCTCCTCTTCCTCATCAAGGTGAGGCTCAGAAGGTTCACTGCCTGAGCTTCTCCGCGAGAATCTAGTCAACTAAGGTCCAGTGCTCAGTTGGCACCAGATTAGGGACAACAGAATACAAGTGGGTTGGATTTAGACCCTTTGATGGGAACGCAATGATTCTAGGAGGATGACTCGCTTAACCCCACCCCACCCAGCTCTGCCTGCTCTTCTGGGATCGGCGTTTTTCAACCTTGGCAACTTTTTTAAGACTTGTGGACGTCAACTCCCAGAATTCCCCAGCCGTGTCTGCTGGCTGGAGAATTCTGGGGATTGAAGTCCGCAGCTCTTCAAGGGGCCGAGGTTGAACACCCCACCCCCCCGCGCCCTACACCCACCTCACAAATGCGCTTCTGTTCCTCAAGGGTATCCTTGGGCAGCTTCTTCCTCTCCAGCTCCATGGACAGCCCCACAATGTACTCGCGGCAGATGGCGATCAGCTGCTGGGCCTGCAAGGCAAGAAGACCCCAGACCCGAGTCTCAGCAGATGACAATCTGCAAGGGGGGCGCGCTTCGGTCACAAACCTTGCGGGGAGGGAAGGGAGAAGAGAGATACCAGCAGGTGGGGGGGGGAACTCTTTGTCTTGGGGAGGGGATTTCACAGCCACAAGGAGAAATGGGTGGGAGCTCATCAGAGAGACCTTCAACCTCCTGACAATGAGGACAATTCACCAGCGGCCTCCAGACGTTGGAGGTGCTCC